TAGGAAGGTTCAGTGTGGTAGGTTGACTGTCTAGGCTGGTATACTTCAGGGCTTATGTAGCCATTCTCAGATTCTTCTCGATACTTTTGACGTCTTCTGAGGTATACTTCTTGTTGCTGGTACTGGTGATGTCTAATTGGCATATGACATGGAGCCAATCTGTTTATTGTGGATGTGTTGACTGGTGAAGAATAGTGTGGTTGGTCATTTTCTCTGGTTCTGCTATGTGATTGGAATTCTTGTAGTCGTTTTTCTAACAATTTGACTTGTTCTCGAAGATACAGGATTTCGTCGTAAAGTGAAGAAGATGGAGGCAGCTGTTGTCTGGAGGATGTTCTTGAATAATAGTTGTCGTAATAGTTGTTCTCTCTCTGATACGGAGTTGTGTATCGTAGTGGAGGATAATAATCGTAGAAGTAGACATCTTCTTCTGACGTGTTGATGCCAACATTGGTTTGTAGTGTTCTGGATAGCGGTACCATCTCCGTGTAATGTTTGCGTGTTTAGCTGCTGGCCATGTCTAAGGCTGAATCTTTTATTACCATTAGAGGAGGTTTGACAATATGAAGGAGTCTTCTTTCTTATTATTTCGGAGCCAATGTACAGACAAATTTTGGTAATATATTATTTCGGAGCCAATAGGCGGGCAAATTTTGATAATCTTTATTTCGGAGCCTATATACGGACAAACTTTAAAATTAATAATGGTTTGCCAAGTGAAGTGCCTTTTAAAATGAAATTTTAGAATTTATATTATAAAGATAGACCGAAAGCTTTCTGATTATACACACTATATTGCCTAAAATGTGTGTTTGCGAAATAGGCACTGTCGGACGCTGAAAATAAAGTTGTAATTAGTTGGAAATGACTATGTACTTCATAAATCAATAACTTTGGTTGCTATTGATCTCTGTACTTGTGATTTATGTTTCTGGGTAAGGGACTCTTTGGGAATTGGCCTTTATATTGAATTAAAGAGGTAAAATAGGCCTGGCTGGAAGATAGACAAGAATTTTACAACTCTAGGATCATATAAGACACGCTTGTGCTTCCAGCTGCCAGAACAGTATAGCCAGAAATATATAATCACCTATTATTGTATTACTAATAGAACGATTACCCCATATAACATCCAGCTTGCCGGACTGCCGCAAACGTATAGCCGGAAGGATGTCAATGTATTCACCGTCCTACCTTATATGAAATTAACTGAAACTAAGTTAGCTGTTCAGGCTTGTGACAAGCTTCAACCTTCAGGCCGCCCCTATCAGTTGAAATAGAACAGATCACCCAGTAACAGTTGAAAGAAGAAAAGATAGGTCAAGAGTTTTTACTGATAATTGACTTCACTTTATTGCTATTAATTGACTTTGTATTCAAAAATTTACTTTGACAAAAATCTTTATTTTTAAAAATACAAAAATTTACTTATTAAAAATACTGTACACCTGAGTTGAGAAAATTTTCTTATTTTCAAAACTATCAATACAAAAATTTACTTATAGAAAAATATAAAAAATAATGTACTCCTGAGTTGAGAAAATTTACTTATTTTCAAAACTATCCCACTTCTGACACCATTGTTGTGGTGATTAAAAAATATTGTTAATAAGTGGTTTCTAAAAATAGAAGCAGGCCTCTATCCCACTTGGCACCATTGTTGTGGTGTTGAAAATTAAAAGCCTTATGTTTTCTATAAATAGAATTTAGTTACTTATTACCTAATGTTCTTAGTTTGCTCAGGAGTACTCTTTAATAGGGAAAAATCTAATCGTCAGGATGACACCACCCTTTGAATGCAAAGGGAAATAAAACACAAATGTTGAATAAATTTAAATCAACCAAATTTTTAATGAACTAAGTTTTTATTTACACTAAACTAAAAGTTACTTAAAACTAAACAAGTTGACAAAATGTACTTTAATAGAAAATATGATACTCAAAATAAACTAGTGAATAAAAGATTTAAAACACTTGAAAGTTGTTTAAACTGTAATTACTAAAATATGAAAAATAACCTTAATGATTCTGTGCTGTTTAACTTATAAATCTAAATAGTAGCAAGCCCTGTTTTAATCAATATCAACAAAAAATAAAGATCTAATAATTCAAAATGGCTGCCACTTAAAACAAAGAAAAGATATTAATTAATCTTAATTTATTCTGTAAAAATATAATTACTTAAATTACTTACAACTTTATCAAAAATATTTCAGTGAATTTAGATAATCTCTAAGGTTTACTTATGTGCCAAAGTGCCTAAAATAAATTAAATAATTAATTAATTAACCTTAGAGAGCTTTTAGAGATCTTACTTTTCCAAAAATTAGCAGCAGAATGACAACATTGCTTGAGATGCTTGTATAAATGGACTTCTGAATCCTAGAGGGAGCTAGCATCTACCTACAGGTGGCACTGTATGTAACAACTTATCTGATTCGTCAAATTACAGCCAACCAGAATTTACTTAACAAATGCTCTAGGCTTATCAGTTCTTTACATAACTAGTCTAAAAATAGATTATGATTCATGGAAAAGTTTAACATGAAACAATATTGACATTTTCTATAAAAGATGATAATAATGACTAAGTAATACAAAGTAATCAAAATACTAATAAGAAACTAAACATATTTACAAACATATATAATGCTAAATCAGTAACTTGTATCTCACTTTAAAGTTTAAGGATAATATAAGTAAAAGTAGAACCATTCTCTATATGTTGTATATAAAGAGTCTTAGGCCATGCTAAGTTACTGTTAATGAGTGTATCAATAAGTTCTACAAACTATAATCAACATTAAACTAATGAATGATAAGAATGAAATGTCTGTAAAACAATACAATATTCAATATGATTAAACTTTAAAATAAACTTAAATCTCAGTTAAAGTTTAAACCCTTAATATTTCTTGAAAAATATGTATGAAGATTATATATGATTAACGTCTTTAGTAATATTATACAATATTATGTAATGATTATGTAAGCTGTTGTAAGTGGAATCCAACTTTACAACAATATACATGTTGCATAATTGGAGTTTGACATCCTGAAGTGACCTTGATCGCCATGGTCAAATTACTGAAATTAAGATTAATATTGAAATTTAAAACATGCACTGAGCATATAAAGTGAAAAAATGAAGACCAAACACCATAATGGAAAGGAATTAATATACATGTTATGCTTGTTTTCCAATCCATATATATTGTGATGTAAAATTATACATGCTTGTAAATTTGCTTGAACTATAAATTACTGAAATTTTGTTTAAATGGCATATGTTTGTTATTTAATGAAGAGACTAAATGATTCAATATCAATATGTCTGTGTGATGTTAAAGCTGAAAATTTTAACATGTAACCTAGATGAAGTCATCAAAATGAAGTTTTCATGTAGAAGAAGAGTCCTAAAGGAAGGTGATGTCATGGCTAAAGGTTAAAGTTGTCAACATTCAGACAGCCTGGACAAAAACATTATGCCCATTTATCTACTGATCAGTATAAAAGTTTCTTTAGGGTTTTTCCTGTGTAAATCTATTGTTGAAGGCCAGTTCATTGAAGCAATTTGTCATAAAATAATTTTCTAAAATTTAAATAAGTTCTAATTATGGCAGTGCATTCATTTGTATTATGGTAACAAGTCATAGTATAATTATGTATGAGTGTAGTTTACATGGTCTTTTTCTAATAATATCTTCAAGAGTCATAAATTATGAATGAGTAAGCTTTTATAATACAACATTAGTTTATAATTCCACCTAATGACTTGGAAAGGAAATTAATCCCACAATCCTATTAACTCAATTAGAAAAAACTAAACAAGCACCTGTTCTTTAATTTGTTTACTTTGCAGTGTTATTAAAGTTAAACATGTTTTCCTTTTGCTAAGTTTAAGTGATTAATGCATTGTAGTTTTGTGAAAAGAAGTTTTTTTATGTTGTAACATAATAGATGGTCTGCTCTAGTTTCCCGCCTTTAACTTTCAATGCTTCGTCTGCCGTCTTTATGTATGGGTAAGAGTTCGTATTAGACGACCGTAGGGAGTCTTATCGGACTCTTACCCATATAACTGCAAATCGGCTCTTACAACTCGATATCAGATAAAAATATAGAAAGTGTCACCTCTTTAATCAAGCATAACATTATTTTTCCCCAGCAGTCACGTACAAACAAGGATGGGGTCCAATTACTTAATCTGGCATGTAAAACAATGAGTTTTCAACAATACCTAGTATTTTTGATGCAATTCATTCCTGTCATATGAAACAAAATAATGTTTTGCTTACTTTTTCTAGAAAATATAAAACAGTCAGCAATTAATAATTGACATTTTTCATAGAGTTTAAAGGATATCAAAAAGTTACTGTGTTCACATTTGTCTCTGCGAGCTGAGCTCCACGTGCATTATCTATGTAATAAATTTGAATGTATCCTCACATTGCTACAGTGTTATCAGCCTTTTTAGAAACACCTGACCTGGCTAATTAGAATATGCCAATCACAATTTTCAATATCAGCACTGGTTTCTTCATGAAATAGCGGCTACACTAATTACTGCCGAGTAAGAGCCGATTTGCAGTTATAATTTAGTTGACAAACGCGTTCACTGACCCATAGGCTAAATATATACTGCATAAATAGCTAGTACAAAAAGTCGTATTAAGATTTTAAATACAATAAAAATACCGACCAATTAAATCGCAGAATAGCACCAGCCCACCAATATTAGCCAATCGTATGGCTTCTTCATGCAGGTATGTTTACACTAGTAGTGGTTTTATTTACTATCTGTAACTGAAAGCGGTTTGTGGCTTTAACAGGCACATGGCCTGATCTGAAAAGTTCTTTTAGTGATATTGACTCATTTCCATAGAAGGAATTGATTTGTTGTATAAGTCAGCATGACAATATAGTTATATTTAGAATATCGGAAGTTGGTGTAATAATCTTAAAATTGTGCAAAAGTATATATGAAGTCACAAGTGTTTTATTATTATTATGGTGTTTTAATTTAAATCTTTGTTGAGGATTTTGTTGTGTAATACTAACTTGTCTGAGTTATATAGTAACGAAAGTGTAGGAAATATACTGATATTTTTATATGTGACATTTAATAGATTCAATTTTAACATACATAAAAATATTGTAAATTGGTTTTATATTTATTATAAAAAGGTAACAATTTATTTGTATTTTCTTTAGATTAATTATTAATTGTTGTTATGAACAGTGTATATAGTAGGTAGTATTATTGTAGAATGTAAGGTTGTAAGTAAGATATGAAGTCTTCTAGATCAATGTAGGTATCCCTAAGGCAAACTATTTTATATGATTGTAGACTATAAGAGAGTTGCAGATTTTATGATACTGTCAGATCTCATTAATTAAAGGTCTCAGATGCTATCTAGGGTTGGTTGGACTATATTTACAACATATATGACCTTCAGTTTGACTGGTAATTAATATGTTTCTATTGGACATATGGGTCGCCCTTTGTCTACTCATTGTTAAATTTTTACCGTACTTCATCTATGAAACATTTAATTTTTAACTGGCCAGCTGATAGAGATTTGTGATTTAACTAAAAGAATTCTGATATTTTTTACTGTGGTTCAGAAGTAAGCATTCTTCTTGTTACACCTGTTCTGCTTTTCTCTGTCTGTTAAAAAAAGAAGGGACATCATTTTAACCTAACTTAGTGATAATAATGTTAATGTGCTTCAGCCTTAGACTGCGGATGGGAACTGAATCTGCCCAAGGGAGACTTTATATAGTCTATTAAGATTATTTTACACATTTTAAAATCTATTCTGTTTTTGCAAATAAAATTGTGGCACTCTTTTTAGAATAGGGACGGTACTTTAGATTTTCATTGTATATAACACTGTTGACAGTTGGCCAGGTTTGTCATTAGTGTGATGAACAGCTCATTTCCGACAATTATGGCTTCTTGCTTGTGTCCTGTCAAAATTGTGTTTAAAACAAATAGGGCCATAATTCATATTCCGTTTGTAAAGTTAACATACATGGTGTAAACTGTCAGTGTGCCAGTTACGTATTTTCATGCGGAGTGTACAGGATATTTAAATTTTCAAACTGATTGTGCGTTAATCATAATTGCCTTTTTAGGATTGAAAGATTTAAAATGCTGGTATATTTGTTAACTTGAAATTGTTGCTATTTACATGTCATAGAATTTAAAAAAATAAAAATAATTGTTTGTGAATAAAATCGTAACACCCCTCTTGCTGAGTTGGGTTGTGTACATGTGCGCCAGTATTGTTTCACGTTATATAGATAAGTAGTTAAGAATGTTAGGCCATGATTATACAAGTCCAGTAATAATGTTAGTTGTCAGTAGATAATAGCTGGAATTATCATATTCTATCCTTGCTACCAGTTATACAGTGTGTATACGAGATAGAACAGCTGACTGGTTCACTATTATCATAATCTGCATATTCTCATTGTGTCTGTGTCAATCAGTTTGTATGCTCTAATTTCGGACCATCTTTGTTTGCTACCTATTTTAGGTTTGTGAGCTAAATTTTGTATATTTGCATACTTGGAGTTACTTGGATTATTATAAGAGTCGGTTACTATCTTGTTATAAACATGAGTTATTTTCATAGTGATATAAGATATTATACGTATGAATGTATGAGTTGAAGGGAATAAAAATATATACTGGATGATCATAACATGGATGTAGTCTGATGATTCTGGTCAAGGGTTTGTAGTTTAGTTGTAAATTAAGGTTTTTGTTACAATATTCAGGTGACATTGTATATTGTTACAATGCATTTATTTATTCTAGTGGTGAAAAATTGAAATTATGATTAGCTAAATTTTTTAAGAGATGAAGCACATTTGGCTTTGTTGCTCTTACTTGTTGATCTTTACTCAAAGCTTGATGTAACATTGGTATGTTAAGGCAGTTGGTCAATGTGTTGATTTCTTGGAAAACCCATGCAATTACCAGCACACCTCGGAGGCTCTGCTCATGACTGTATTATTATTTGGTAGATGTTTTGAGATGGATACTTTAGTGCTGGTATCAAGGTCTTAACTGATACACTTAGTTTATTTTAATAAAGGTGTTGTGACTAGGTTTCAAATAGTAGTTACAAGACAATATGAGATTATTTAAAATGTTCCCTGTTCAGTATGACCTATTGCCTGAAATACTTCACTAATCGTGCTCTTGTTAAAATCCACTTAACCTCTTATATTCTGATTAATGTAGATCATAGCTAGTTATTTATCAGAAAGGCAGACAGACAGAAAGACATACATACAGATAGATTTCAGTTATTTAGGACATAATGATTATCATATTTATAGGCCTATAGAAAGTTACATAGTCATTTAACATAGTTAATTAACATAGATATTGACAGGTTCAAGGTTGTCAATCATATTGTAATAGATAAAATATTAAAGTATCATTGATAAAAGAACAATCATGTGATCTCGGGACCAATTGAGCTAGTTTTGTCACATGTCACATTGTTTCTTTCTGTCCATGATATTTTCCATGAGCATAGAGGTTATTTCTCATAGTTGTGTAATACCGTAGTGGTCAAGGTTATATTTAATGAAATTGTTTTTATATATTAGAAAAAAAAGGAGCGGTATATAGATATATCATGTACATCATGAACTTAGATTGAGTTTTAGTATGTATTTTTATATATATACAGGTGCTAAATAGTTGACTGTGATACTTACCATTCAAGACTTACATAAAACTCACGATCTACAAACTGAGTGTCAATCATTTATTATCAGACTGTTTCAAAGTTTTAAATTCTGTCTCAAGTCCATTTTGTGACTTTGATCATCAATTATATTTTTCGTGTGGAAGTGATCTTGTTTGAAACCACTTAGAGACAGGTGCTAACAATTGTTATTTTGTTATAAGAGATTTCAACAGAACTGAAAAAAAAACCACCTTGAAATCATCCACATATTTTTAAATGAGAGAATTGATGCAAAGCATATACTTACCAGGATATATGGAGAGAAAAAACTCACTACAGAATCAAACAATGTAAAGCATATAATGCCAGACTGTTTTATTGAAACAAATAAGCATATTGTTTTGAAAAAAAGTTATAAAAACGATAATTGGCAATCAATTAATTAATTGAACCAGTAATTGGCAAAAAGAGGAAAAACAGGATAAAAAACATTGAGAAACCCCCGGACACTGGTTATATACTGAAACAAAAGGATAATAGGTGCTCTTTAAAATTGGCAAAGGTTGCCTTAAAACATTGTTGACACTGTGGAAAGCTATGTGACTGAGATAAAGGAAAAGAAATATTATTTATCTCGTCTTTGTGCGTTTTTAACATTCTTGTATGAAGATGACGACTGGGATGCTATTTGTGTTCAATTTTTGGTAAGTTATTCTTATATTGCTGATTTAAAAAAAAATAAAATTAATGATTATGATTTTATTATTTTTTTTTGGTTTTGAAATATTGAAATTATAGTGTATTGATGTAAAATATGAAATTGCATGATAAACATCTTCAAAATTGACCAGAGAATGTTTAGAATTAAGTCAGAATTCATTAATTATCGAAACATGCTTGGTATATTTTACAGAATGATGTACTTCTTGTATGTAGATAAGATAAATGATCAGAAAAAATTCATAAAATGGATCAAAGAGAGAACTCATTAAATGCTTCATTTTGAAATTGAAATAGATTTGACTTGACTGTCTTGGAGGTCGTAATTGACACTGGTACTGAACCAAATGAAACAAGTCTTGAAAATATTTCCTTATCTTAGGGTATGATCACTTTCAGTATTAGATAGCTCAAAAACTGTCATGTGAGACTTAAAAAAAATAGTCCAGTGTCAAGTTGAATCATAATTTTATTTGCTGCAATATGTTTATTTAACATCCTCCGAGCACTGATAGTGATTACAAATGGCTATTTCCTGAAACCATAACAATCATTACAGCACTCCTGCTCCTATCAGCTTCACCATATTGCACCTTTTATTTTCCCCATTTCATTTGATAATAATTTTTACAATTTAACCCCCTTTGTTGAAGGTGAAACTTGCCTCAAACATTTTCTGCCTGTGTACCATGATTTCATTTCCTTGTTACAGACTTATTTCCTTGTTTAAGTTACCTTATCTCTAACTTAATAATAGACAAACTTTTATATTGAACACATGCTCGTTTCCCTTTTGTATGAGATTATATGGTCCTGTTAAAATGTGATAAATTCCTGTTTAATTTTACAAGTTTGGGGACATTATTTGACTATTTAACAATAGGTTTATTGTCTCTCTTATACAGAATGAGGCAAGGTTTGTCAATTAATTACCACTATATAAAATAAAGATGAAAGGTGAATTAAGTGTAGTTTTGATTAGCGTGTACATGTAACGAAAGTTAATTATAAAGACAGGAATGAGACAAAGAATTAGGGACAGAATGAATAAGAGTGTCATTCATTATTGTAACAGTATATTATAAGGTTGTTTATAATATTTTCATGATGAAAGTTTTGTAGCTCAAGACTTGAAAACAAATTTAATAACTGAAATGACTAATTGTTTAATTAAATGTATTTTTGTTGTACATTTTAATGAACATGTTTCTTTGTTGATAATTATTAAACCAATGGTTAACATTGATTGACGTATGACTAATAGAGGATATCCTATTATCAATAAACCACAATAGGTCCGGTTAACAAAATGATGCACTGTTTTGAAAAATTAAGGAAAAAAATCGTTGATCCATTCATAATTCATTGTTTTATTCTTTAAAATCCCAATTGCATGTTTTATATCTATGCCTCCCCACTTTTTGAGGGGATTGGGATTGTGAGGGGAGCATATAGAATTGACCTTGTCCATCCATTTTCTTCTCCATCAATAGACAGACAAGACGGAGACATCAGTGTCCTATGGACTTACTTATATTTTCTGTCCCATATTAAACAGTACAATGACAAAATATGATAACGCTAATCCTACTGGACTAAATTTAGTGAAAGTGCACACCTTAAAAATTGTTTAAAAGTAAAATTTTGAAATTTCACTGTTGAATTTAACCTGTTTTGTGTTCTTATATATATTTTTTGTACATGAATGCAATCTGTAAATCAAGTTTGAAAAGGTGCTCATTACAAAAATCAAAAGTTATAAAATATTTATATGCCTTTAAATGTCATTGAAATTTAAGAACTTAAGGATTTATCTTTGTAATCTATAGCTACTTAATACTGAACCAGTCCTTTACCCTTTTCTAAACATCTTATAATGTAAGATGTTTAGAAATGATAAAAAAGGGGCTGAATTAGGGAACAATTAGATCGGATTTACATCCTTAAGCATCCACTGATTTTGTGTAATCGGATTTGCAAACAGAGCAGACCATGATTGGATTGCACTAATGTTGCCTGGCACTAATGTTGCTTGGGTATAATTATATACTCAGTTGCCAGGCTTGCAAGGCTGAGCAATTTAGGAAAAGTTTACTTTCAATATGGTTCTAATCTATCATTTTTACTCTGTATGAAGGATTCTTTTCAAAGCCCTGTATTTTCAATTGTATAATAATAAGTTGCTCATCAAAATATCTGATTATTTCTGTAACAAATTAAATTTTGATTTTTAGATGATGTGAACTTTATAAGTATTATCTAATAAATGTTTAAAAGATGGGTGTCAGACAGTTTAGATATAGCTAATGATGGAGAAACAGCATTATGCAGCTTACCACAGACTTTGTACAGCTGTAATAAGTCAGGAACACTATGTTTACATGATGATTTCCTGCTGAATTGTTGAAGGTGCAATTCTTAATATGCAAGTTTAAAATTGTACAAAAATGCAATTGAAATGTTATGATATATTGTTAAGAGTAAAATAAGATTTCTGTAACATTGACAATTAATTATGATGTTATGCAAGACTAAGTTTTATAGGTTCACAATGACTTATTTGATTCTGACAGCTTGGGTCACAAGAGACAAGGACTCAGTTTTATAAAGTCTGTTCACAATGGACAACGACTCTGTTCTATTGAGTCTGTTCACAAGAGACAAGGACTCAGTTCTATTGAGTCTGTTCACAAGAGACAATGACTCAGTTCTATAGAGTCTGTTCACAAGAGACAAAGACTCAGTTCTATAGAGTCTGTTCACAAGAGACAAGGACTCAGTTCTATAGAGTCTGTTCACAAGAGACAAAGACTCAGTTCTATAGAGTCTGTTCACAAGAGTCAGTGACTCAGTTCTATTGAGTTTGTTCACAAGAGACCGTGACTCTGTTCTACAGTTTGTTCACAAGAGACAATGACTCATAATAGAGTCTGTTCACAAGAGACAGTGACTCATTATAGAGTCTGTTTACAAGAGGCAATGATTCAGCTCTATTGAGCCTGTTCATAAGAGGCAATGACTTATTTCTATAGAGTCTGTTCACAAGAGATAACAACTCAATTATGTTGAGTCTGTTCACAAGAGACAAAGACTCAGTTCTATTGAGTCTGTTCACAAGATACAAAGACTCAGTATTATTGAGTCTGTCCACAACCAGACAGTGACTTATTTCTGTTGAGTTTGAATAACATTCAATTAAATTTTGTAAAATAAAAAATAAGGAGCAAAATCCCAAGTACAGACATGATACATACAAGCAAAGAAGACAATTTTATCAATGTATGATAGTATTAGGAAACATTGCTTGAGAAGATAACATTAGGTGAAGTTTTTGAAGGAAGAAATTACTTTTATAGTTATTTCTTGTTACTCAATTATTTTTAGATAAGTGCGTGTCTGTTGAATTGCATGCCTGTAGGTGATATTACTCTGGCCTTATTCAATAATAGACATATCTGTTCATCATGGTTAAGGAGATATCCCTCTGCACACTGCAGTGTATATGGAATGGTCCATTTGTTACTTATATTTAAAACTTTATGAATGCTAAGAGATCTGATGTAATTGCTTAAATTTCCTATTCCATTAGTATAGAGCAATACAAAATCTGCAATTCAAGTTCCTAATGCAGTCTAGTCAGTCTTGATTCATTATGCTTGCATCCTTGAATTTTAAGCATTTCAATGTTGTTATCCCTTAAACAAATCATACATTTCCAAATTTAAATAAAGAAAGTCTGTTTAACAAATTGATATTTTAAAGGAGACGAGATTTTGATATAGAAAAACTCAGCATATGCCTATAACAGTGTCAGTGTCACTTAAAACCCGACAAAAAATAACAGGGTACTAAAATTAAATATATCTTGTACATGTATATGCAATAGAGTACAGGTATGGTCACATAATATTATGTGCAGACTTGCACGACTTACAATACTGGTCTGCATAGATAAGCTATTATCATACACTAAGCTGTTGATAATTATCTTAGACACCATTGTTTCATCCTACATATTGATCTCACTTACTCTGCTTGCCAATAAATGTGTACTAAGTAATTCTTCTGTCTACTATAATGTACCTTCTCAAAGGTCAGCTTACATCGTTACTAATCAATGGTAACTGCAAATAATTAGACGAACTATTGGAAATCCAAGTCTCTGAACTCTGAAATAATCCTTCTAGTTCATGGTAACCCTTGCCACAGGTTGGACATGTCCAGTTTTCAATCTGGACAAAAAAAAACATTCATCATTTATAGGGAAAATTCTCAAAATATATGTATTGACTGAGTAGAGAACAGTGCAGACCATGATCAATTGGTACTGACGTGCTTGCTGATGTGGTCTGCACTGATGGGTCACTTTGGTAGAATCAGTTGCCACTTATAAACAGATTTAGAGGAATTACTCTCAGATTTCTAAATATTTAGAATGGGACTTATATCTTGACATAATATAAACTGCAGGGAATGCTTCAGAGTGTTAAAGTGTTTCCAGGGCCTAATGACAGAAATTTTGCCATGTTTAAATACTCCTCTCCTTTAAAGTGTGACCCTTGCCATCAATTTCTTCTTTTTCGCCTTTACTTTTTTTCTCTACATTTCCTACTAAATTGATTACTTCAGTTACCTCCCTTGAAAATCAATTATTTCATGAATTTTTTTTAATAACTTTACGATATGAATTCTTAATGTTCTAGAAATTAAATACCGGTATATCATTTAGTTGATAATATGTTTGTAATAAGATTAGAAAACTTAACAAACCAGTCAAAGATTACTGGGTAAAGTAACAATGATGAAGGATTAAGTAGGACTGTATGATAACACCAATTAAAGCCAATCTGTCACCATAATCTCTTACCAGGTTTATCATACATGGACACCAGAACAGATGTTATAGAAAATTGTTTTCCATTTAGCATTTGATATTTTTCTCAGTGCCAAAAGTTACTGTTTGCATTATATAGATAGGGGGCGT